ATTAAATTAAAATCAAAGTTATAGAGATACTGTTTTCAAAATATTATCTATAATATAAATATTAACTTTGTAATACATCTGACGGGTATTTGTAATTACAAATGAGAACACTCTAATAAAAATATCTAAAACCCTGGAAATATTGAAATAGGATAAATAATAATTGAGTAATCACCGTTGATTCTTTATTTTGATGCATTAAACATGTGTAACACTTGAAAAGCATGCATTTTTCTACAATCAAAATTTTTATTGTAAAAAAATGGATCTCCCTTTTGGAGATTGTTGAGAAAATCTTTTGCTTTCAAAATTTAAGATATTTATTATAATTTCAAAGGCAATTTAAATTTTGAGAAATTCAATCCCTAATATGAATGATGACTGTATAAATATACTATCAACTGCTCTTGATCAATCAATAACAAAAAACACATCTTTTTCATGCCAAGCATATCAAATTATTTACGAATCAGTGATATCTAATAAAATTGAAAAAATTATTGAAGATCTTAAAAAAGCAATTGACATATTATTTCACCATTTTATTATCGAAATATATCAAAATGAATCATTTTCATTATTTTTTCGCTATTCTTCTATATCTAATCAATTTATTCATCATAAGAAAATTCTATCAAATTTCTTTTGCATTGTTGAGCGATTCTCTGATAATAGTACATTCTCTTTAGATCAAGAATTGAATCAACAATTTATTCATATTTTTAGATCTTTAACCAAATTTGATGAACTCCTACAATCTTTTTTTGAGAAATTAAACACTTTTCATTTTACTGATTTTAGAAAGAGTTATGAATTTGTTGATTTGGCCAATACTTCAAAGCTAATTCACTTTTGTTATCCAGAAAAAGAAAAACAGACTGTATTAACTGACAATCTATTAGCAGAAGCCAGAAATTCAGCACAAAACTTTATATATGGAATAACTGATATAAATATGCTTGAATTTATGACTTCATTAAATCGATATTTGACTATTGAAGAATCTCTTTTGAACAATTTATTTTACAAAGAAACAGCCGAAACAACTTTATTAAGTACGTATAATATTTTTTCTACCGAAGTAAAAAATACACATTATGAAAGGTTATCAGTTCTAGTAAGTGAGAGCATTAAAAATCGTGAAAAATCATTAATACTTGAATACTATAAATTTCTCTCATTTCGCTCCCCACCAGAAAGTTCTCTCTCATTATTATCAGAATTAATTCATGAACAAATCAAAAACGAGCCAACAGATAATATTATAAATCTTGGAAAAGCAATTTCGTTTTACGATGACATTTTTAATACATTAAACAATTCTTTCTTAACCAAAGAATATAATCGCCAAATAGTTCAATCGTTACATACAAAGAAGAAAGAAATTTTTAAAGATTTAATTTCTTTCATTTCAAAAGCGGCAAATTCAAATCCAGATATTTCACCTATAAGGCCAATTTTAGGTAAAATCGATAATAAAAGCGAATTTGAATTAATATATAGCAGGCACGTGACACGGAGACTTGTTCCACCAACTGAAAAACAGATTGAAAGAGAGCATTCAATTATCACACAAATTCAATCGTCATCCTTAACGTCTTCTTATGAATTTTCAAAGCTATTGAATTTATTGAATGAAGCCTCACAATCTATTGAAAAACATATCGGCCCAGTCTTAATTTGTAACGTTTCGGTTTGGCCGTTTCAGCCACCTTTTCCTAAGTGTTCTTATTTTGACTCAATTTGTAATGAAATTCAAACAAAGTACTCAAAATCTTATCCGAATAGAATCCTCACTTTCCCCTTTGATTCGTGGATTGTTTGTGTAAAGGACACTCTGAAAAATTTCGTTATGTCTGGTAATGGCGTTCAATCACAAATTTTTCTTTATTTAAATAACCACGAAATCGTTCATAAGGACTCGTTTGCACCACATATATCGAGCGTCCAAATGACAAGTGCTTTGAAAAGCCTTTCAACCAAGAAAATGCCACTTTTAATTGAAAAAGAAACTAATAACGAAATAACGTACTTTTCATTGAATTCTAACTATCAAAATAAATTAAAGAGCTTCAAGTTACCAACGCCCGCTTTTGTCCACAAAACCGCACAGAACGACTTGATTCAAAACAGAAATGATCAGATTGACGCGGCTCTCACGAAGTTGATGAAAGAGAAGAGATTGATGAAATATAATGAAATGGAATCTGAAATAAAAGAAAGACTAAGTGGAAGATTCAGAGTAAATTCTGATGAAGTTAAAAGTAGAGTAAATGAATTGGTTGCAAGAGAATTCTTAGAGATGAATGAAGTAGAAAATACGATTATTTATCTGCCTTGAAATTATTTTTTTTTATTTTTTGTTATGTTTTGTTTTGTATGATGCATTAAAAAAAAATCGATTTTTGTTTTGCTTTGTTTGAATAATATTCGAAATAATTAAACATGTTTTTTAGTTACTCTTATAAATTATTTATTTGATGATATCTTTTATAAGCGAATTATGATCATTGTTTCGAAACAAAATTTGAGCACTCAGAATTCTTTGCTCAGAATTGAAAATAGTGTTCCTCTGAATTCAATTGCATGAATATTCATTTCCTTAATGTAATTATATTGAATTATACTGCAAGAAATTGAATTATTTGGATTATTTTTAATGGAAATTGTAATTTCATTAAATCCAATATTATAAAATACCAAAATAAAAAGTATCGTAAAATAAATTTAATCATTATTTAAAAATTATATTATAAAATATTTGTTGTTTACTAGTTTTAATATGACTATTTCATGATAAAAATAAAACAAATATTGTCAAAAACACTTTTCAAAAAATGGTTGATTGAATCAAAAATTGAGAGAATAAATTCAGAATTTTATTATTTTTTCTATGAATATTGTTTTTTTTATAAAAATAGAAATAATGATTAAAAAGGTATATAAAGTACTACTTCTTGGGAGTAGTAGTAGATCTGCAATGATCAACAAAGCTAAAAATCTACCTGTTGAAAGCGAACGTATTACTGGTGCTGGAATGACTTCTTTTAATTTTGAATTAAATAAAGATAAAATAGTTTTACAATTATGGGAAGCTGCTTCTACAGAAAAATTCCGAGCTGTTTTACCAATGTACTGCAAAGATGCAAAGGGTGTTATATTTGTTTTCGATTTCAATCAAAAAACAACTTTTGAAGATATATCACAATTATTACCTGCAACTCGAACAAATTGTCCACCAAATACTTCTTATTTTTTAATTGGAGTAAAATGCGAAACAGAACAAGAAAGGCAAGTATCTGAAAAAGAGGCTGCTACTTTTGCTCGACAGAACCATCTCAAATATGCAAAATTTGATAAAAAAGAAGAATCAACTTCTATATTCTTCAATGTTGCAAAATATATTTATAATAGTACTCAAACCCCATCCCCTCCCCCACAGCAAACATCACCAAAATCAACTCCTCCTCCATCTCAAAAAGAAGAAGAGAAAAAGAAATTTTCTTTTTTGCCATTACATTCGAAAAAAGCTGATAATAATAATGATCATCCTAATGAAGCTAACTCCAAAGCTGAAAATCACACTAAAGAAGTTATTCATAATCAAAGTAACAATGATACAAAAGATGAATCACAGCATGATCATAATAATACTGAAAAAGAAACTCCCCAAACTCCAGAACAAAAAGTGCAATCATTATCTCATCAATTGATTATATCTCAAAAACATGAAAAATTTTATCATACAAAGGCAGACGAGCTTGAACGTCAGCTAAAAGAATTATCTGAAAAGCTCGAGCAGTCCATGAATAACGAAAAACTTCTCGCGGAGAAAGTTAATTACCTTACAAAGAAACTCCACACGGTTACACTCCAAAAAATTCACCAAGAAGAAGCAATCGCAAACAATACTGCTTTACAGCAACCTAAAAAGCTCCCAATTTTTAGTGTACCTGATATTAAGCAATTGAAGGAACTCAAGAAGCTTGGAGATGAGCAAACATCTTCTGTGACTGAAGTACTCAAAGAAGAAAAAATGATTCTTAAGACTTTCGACTTATCGAACTACACAAAATCAAACCAAAATCAAAATGAAAACGTAGATCAAACACAGAAATCAGCCACCACAGAAAATTCAAACGATACAGGAAATACCAATATCACTGAAAATACAGATGCTGCTGAGAACGAAGAGCATGCTGAAGGTGATAATGATGATGTTTCAAATAAACTTGATGCTTTTGTGAAGGAAATTGAAATTTTAAATCAGATTGAGAATCCTCATATTGCAAAAATATTCGGATTCTGCTATGGAGACTCGTCTACAAAACCAGCAGAACTTCTCGAATATGTTGAGTCAAGCCTCAATGATGTTGCTAGCCAACTCAATACTGCAGATCGAATTCGTGCCATCATCGATATCAGCAACACTATGAAGCAAGTCCACTCAAAAGGCATCATCCACTACACTCTAAGTCCAAGTCGTATTCTTGTTGACGGACGGAATCGTGTGAAGCTGTCTGGCTTTGGAATGGCAAATCTATTTGATGATGAAATCCTTATTTCAAAAAGTTCTCACCAATTCATCGCTCCAGAGCTGATTCGCAAGGAAGGAAGCTACAATGATAAGGTGGACGTTTATTCATTTGGCAGCATTCTTTACTTTGTGCTGACTGGAGGCGAGCTGCCGCAGATCAGCAAAGAGGAGATTGAAGAAGGGAAGAAGGCTCAGATACCTGACAGCATCAATGAGTTATCACGCGAACTGATCGAAAAGTGCTGGGAAAATGATAGCAAGGCGAGACCTTCTTTTGCTGATATTGTTGAGAAGATCGAAAATAATAATTTTAAATTAATCGATGACTTTGATGCTTCCCAATTATATTTTTAATTTAAAAAAAATACTCATTGCTAATGAGAGTTTTAAACTCAATTAATCATGCTCAATAAAAAAAAATAGTTTTCATCTATATATTTTTATAATAAATAAAAAAAAAAAATGCATCGCCCGGGAATCGGACCCGGACCCCCACCTTGGCAAGGTGAAATTCTACCATTAGACCAGCGATGCTCACATCAATTAACTTTAATTTACTTTATTTATTAAATATTCAACAAATACTTAATTGAGCTTTTCTAATTGATATTCTAAAAATCATTTAATAGAATTTAGCAACAATAAATAACTATTCAGTAAAAATATAAAACATAAATAAATATTGAAAAAAAATTAGAAACAAATTTATTTTGATTCAAATTCACCTCTCAAAAAACGGGCTTGAAGTTGCTGAAGCCTTGTCTCATACTCAGTCAATGCATCGGCAACTTTATTCATATATTCCACAAAGGATTCATCATTCATAGCTCCAAATCTGGGGACAAGTTTAGTAAGAGGTGCCGCAGCTCTATATAAGAAAGAATTATGCTGAGTTTTTTGATTATCATCAAAATTCTGTAATTTAGCCTTTAATTTAGCTTCAACATTAGATAATTGTGCCTTCCAATAATTATCCTTTGCTGTTTCTATTTGCTGGCAACGAATAGTCAATGCATTAACCTCGTTTTTAAGAACCTTAATTTCTGACTGGAGGGATGTAATAACTGCTCTATTTTCGTCTTGTTTTAATTTAAATTCCTCATCTTTTTCTTTTTTAATCTGGCCGATTTTATCGTTTAAAGCATTGACCTGTTTCTGCATTTCTTCGATTATTATTTTCTGTTTATCAGTCATTGAAACCGAGTCTCCAACGAGTTCTTCATTTCTAGATTTTAACGATTGAATTTTTTTTGAACAGAGTCTCAATTTTTCTTTCAATTTTGCCTCATCTTGTCTCGCCTTATTTTTCATATTTTCAATAGTGACAGTTGCATTAAATTCTTCCTCTTGTATTGCTGTTTTCAGCTTCAATTGAAAATCGCGCTGACTTTCTTCATATTTTGATTGAAGTTTAATAATCTCATGCGTTAATGATTCAATTTTTGAGTTTGCTGTTTGAAGCTGTTTGAGAAGTATTGTATTTTGGTCCTTCAACGACGAGTTTTCGCGTTCAGAGTTAGCTTTAGATTGCTCGAATTCAGATGAAAAGTTCACGTTTTCGATCTTCAAATTCGAATTTTCTTTCTCTTTCAATTCCAGCTGCTTCTCGAGCTCAATCACTCTTATCTTTGAGTCTTCAAGTTCGCTTCTTAATCCTGAAGAGTCGTTTTTAATGTTCGTTATTTCCTTAGTTTTGTCTTTTTTCAACTTTTTGATGTAGTCTATCGTCGCGCTGGGCACGTCAGACGCGCTTCCTTCGAAGCGGATGATTCTTCTCAATTTTCCGTCACAAATTTCATAAATTGAAGTCAGCTGCTTCAAGTAGACGAGAATGGCTTGATAAACAATGTCGGGATCGGAATTTGCGTCGAGTTTCATGATTTCAATTGCGCTATTCAAAAAGTTGAAATTCATGTCAATTCTGCTCTGAATTATTTCTGCAACATCATCTTCCTCTGAAACGTCCAGAGAACTTTTTAGACGGCTCAACAATTCTTTGTATTTTTCGCGCTTTTCGCACTCTTTTCTTAAGATGTCATTGACGGCGATCTGGAAGGAGAGATGCTTCTCATTTGATCCTTCAGCCTGCTTGAAATCCTCATTCGTCATCAAATGGTTCTCTCTCAAAAATTTCTGACAACGGTTAATTTCGGTTAAGGCCAAATTTTTGATTGTTTTACCTTTTGTCTTCTTTGAAGGTTCAATCGATATTTGGTCGAATTCGCCGGTTTCTGCGAATTTTTGAATGAAGTTAATTTGACCTTTGATTATTTGTTTCAATTTTCTGTTCTTCTGCTTCAAAAGTGGATCGCCTTCTGTCAAAACCACCTGCAACGTCTCCGGGATATTTTGTATGCTAGCGTTGAAGTAGTCATTGAGCATTTTTTGTATCTGCGCGACAATTTTGTCACTGCTTTCTCTATCGGCCTCCATTTTCTGAAGTTGATTGGTTAGTCTTTGATTCGAGTCGCGAAGAGAGAAAAGTTCGCTTGATGAATTAGATGATTCATTTTGGGAATTTGTGCAAATGATGTTAAAAGCATCAATGACTAGATTCTGGTCATTCAATAATTGAAAAGAACGGTGGTTAATTTCACGTGACTTCACTAGATCATCGACTTGTTTCTCATAAAGATTTGTGAGAGAATCTATCGTCTTTTGTAATTCAATTATTCGTTTCTGTGATCGTGAATGTTGTTCTTCTAAATTGTTGCTGTTGTTTTGGTGGATTTGGTTGCCTTTAATTTTGGCTTCCATTTGTTGTTTTTCAACTTCTAATTTTTGAATTTTTAATTGGTTGGATGTATTCAAATCTTGTAATTTTAATATTATTTCTTTTTGGGCTTCAATCTTGTTTTTAAGATGGCTGTTCTTTTGCATTACTCGATCTAGTAACTCATCTTTTGATTGGATGGCGGCTTGGTAATCTTGGCGGAGATTTTCACTAAATCTTTCTTCTTCAAGATGGAGAATTTGTTCTTTAAGAGATTTTATTTGCTCATTTTGGGATGAAATTAATAATTTCGTTTCAAATTTTTCTTGCGCGGACATTATTGTAGTTTGGTTTGGATCAAATTGTAAAGAACTAGTTGGAAATTTTTCAGGCGAATTTAAGCTTGATATTGTCATGTCTTTTGATGGCGAAATCGGTTGAATTATTTGGCTAGTTTCTTTTTGTTTTTCTGATTCGTTTAAAACACCTTCTACGAATGAAGAAAATATTTTTAATAAATCTTTTCGAGAATTTAAATCATATCTAATATTTCCTTCAGCTGTAAGAAGAGACTGTATATTCATAGCAATGTGATTTAAATTTTTATTTCCAAAAGTATAGTCTGTTAAAGGGCGTGGATTTGAATTAATAATATTTGAATAAGCTACAGCAGTAGACAATGTTGTTCTATCTGGATAAATATCTTCAGCAACATCAAGATCTGAACCAAGATCTAAATTCGAATCAATGCTCGCTTCAGTCATTGAAACTTAGCAACTTCAAATTCTGAATTATACGATAAGAAAACCTTAAATTTTCGCCTTAGGCTTGTACGTTTACTTTTTAACTAAAAAAATGTTTTTTTCTCCGCATTTTTATGTAGTTTACTTTTAAATAACCATAAATTATATTTTAAAAATATTAAAATATTATTGCAAATTGAATAGAAACAAAAAATAACAATAATAAAAAAAGATTTTTTTTTAACATTTTATGGATGTCACGTCCATTTTTATATTCCTATTATAATATTTGTTCCGATGAAGTTATTAATGATTGAATAATATAATATTTTGATATAAGGTGGTATTTATTTATTAATTTTATAAATCAAATGTTCAAGTTATTAAATCTGTAAAGAAATAATAAAAAAAAAAAACTTTGAAGATTATTGTTACTCACAAATCTAAATATATGATTTTTAAAAGAATATAATTGATATTGGCATGAAAATTCATATATAATCATAAAAATTCGAACATAAAATTTCATAAAAAGTACGTTGATTTCTTTCAGAAAATTATAAAATAAACGTCCATTTTTGAATCTTATTCTCTGAAATTGAAATTCAATGATTCAAAAAAATTTTATTTACAAAATTAAATGAATGATGATTTGCAATCGAATTACCTGACAATAGAACACAGGAAGGATTCATCACACAAATTTGACAAAATATCAACAGACTCATCAAGTTTTTTAAATTCAAGAAGAACAACAGCATCTAAGAAGCCGTTACCAACAGTTCCAAATATGAGTATGACATTAAACATTAATATGCTTTCTAATCAAAATGCACCAACAAATAAAAATGGTCAAACATCGCGTACAGCATCAAGTTCTTCACTAACAAGAAATTTTTCTTCTTCAAATCAATTTATAAAAAAGAATGTATTACCTCCAAAAATCAAAGCAATGCGCAGTATTAATACCTCTGAATTAGAATTATCCAAAACGACAAAAATTCCAAATATATCAGAAAGTATTGAAAGCGCACCTTCACGTGTTGATAAGAACTTACAACTTGCTTCAGAAATGGATGATTTCTTTCTACTTCTTTCGCACGATTCATTACAGTTATCTGTTGAAAAATATGTTCAAGAGAAGCTAAATGCTGGCCAAGTTTTTTTTTGGCAAGCAGTTGCATCAGTTCAACGGTTTTATTCGAACAAATTAAACATGTCAGTAGCTCATAATGAAGGATTAATTGGTTATGCATTTCATAATCGATCAACTGTTGTTATTCCGTGTGCAAATAAGCATGATTGGTATGATCAACAAGTAGATGGTCAAATCGTCAATCACACATCTTCCCTAGTTTTATTTCCCCTTTTTGATTCAATGAACAATCTAGTATCTATTGTTGAAGTTTCGAAAAAAGCGAATGATTCACTTGTCACAAAAAGTAACCATCGTTTCATTGAAATTTTTCAGAAAAAGTTCCGAGTTTTTAGCCATTGGATTTTGAATGAAGACGATCATAATGAAGATGATTTTAAAGATCTTTTGAATCTAATGGAAGTTGGTCAGTTCATTTTATCATTCAAAAGAAAAATGATTGAAATTTTTGAATGCAGACAGGCTGAAATATGGATTTACACTGAAAAAACAGGGGAAGAATCAGAAATACAATCAAAGTTTACTTTATATACAGAAAATGGTCCAGTCGAAATCGACACAAGTCAAGTTGGAATTGTGGGTGAAGTCATCCATCGTCAACAAGTTTACAATTGTTATATAAACAACCTTCAAAGCAGCTACAATGTTGAAACAGACAGTTCTTACGAAGAGCCGATATTGGCTATGCCTTATTCTGTCTCTGACTCGGTTAGTAAGAAGGTTTACATCATAATGATTCGTGGTCAAAATCGAAAAAAAATTTTCACAACTTTTGACGAAAAAAAATTGGCAAAAATTTCGAAATTTATTTTCGCATCGTTCATCAATTCCCTCTTTATTGAAGAGCTGAACGACTCATCGGCAGCCAATGAGAAGCTTCTTCAATCAATCCTTCGTATCGTTCCAAAAGTGAAGGAAAGAA